TTTCATTTAACAGTTGCGAACTTTAATTTATTGAATTCTTAGCTTATATGAGTGACACTTTTAACTAACATTCTGTGCTCACAGACTAATCTTGACAGGATGGACTCAGCATATGTTACAAAATAATCTTTAATTCTCTTGATTGAATGGGATTTTTTAAAGTATTCTGATAGGGTGTTTTCATCCCATTAAAAATATCATTGAAGCTTTGACTTTTTGCTTTAGAAAACAGTAACTAGAGCGGACCTAGATCATCTTGATCTCAGACCGAAATCAGAATTTTTCAGACTGAGGATAAATTGATTTGTACAAGTATTAGCTAACCGAAATCGTTTTAAAAAAGCTTATTGTCAAGAAGCATTAACAACTGTAACTAAGCAGTGATTCCCGATAATTTTAAAACAAATAACTGTTAAATTATGGGAGAGCTATTGGAAGCTCTATGTCGTATTCAAAAAGATCCAGTACACTAAAATGGCTAGTGGTGTTTTGCACCTAATGACAAGTCTCCAAATAAATATTTCATCAAAATCTTATTTATAAGTGTGTTTTATTTTCGTTTGTTTTTGGGATAAGAAAATGGACAACCCCATATAAAACACTTTCATTGGAAGTACATATCATTGGCTACAGCGAATTGTCAGCTTGAAAAGTAATATATACGTATGAAGATAAAACTTTATCCATACATAATTTTTTTGTGGGTCTTGTTTGTCATATCTAAGCTATAATCGTTTTTTTAGAATATTAGTGGATTATGCTAAAGTAGAATTTTATCAACATTTTTCAACACTTTTTCTCCTTTCTGTTATTAAGAGCCAAATATTGGTTTCCCCCAAAAGCCATAATTTTGAGATAAAGCCCTATTTTGAGTAATTGCTTTATTTCTTCCAAATATTGCAATAATTTTCTATAGTTTCATAAATTAAATTGCAATTCTTATCAGGTACAATAATTTTATTTATCGAAACAAAATGATAAGTTTTTAATTGTTGCTGTTCATTGACTTTATATAGTGGAAGGTTTTTGTGCGTCCATATTTATGTATGGCTATTCTTTAAAACACAATTTTCATTTAAATTATTTTAAATTTTTATAGCTTTCTGGATATTAAAAAAAAATTGATATTAATGGTAAAAGAATGAAGCACAGAACAAAAAACTGACCTACGTTTTTGTGATGGAAGGGTTAACAGCAAAAAAAATATAGAAAGTAAGTGAGTTAATTATTTCAAATAGCACATATCTCAATTAAAATAATTTATATTGTAATTATAATATGTAGAAATAAAATGTGCCCATTAAATTATAAATATCAGCACTTAAATCTCATCAAATTTATAATTTCCTTAATATAGGTTGAGCATTCCTCATATAATGGCATAACTCGTATAATTATTATAAATTTACTTTTTAAGGGTCTCTTAGAATACTCATAGATCATGTTTTCTGAAAACTAATTGTAAGCCATTTATATGCTTTCAAAGACTGGTGGACCAAGTGTGTTGCAATACATCTCTAATATATTACAGATAAGTTTCAAATCACTTCTGTGTTATTAATAATTGATTGCCACACGAGGGTCACTATGTATATTTTGTGCCTTGACAACACTGATTGTTCTCAGGTGTCTTCTGATGTTTCCATAAAAATGTTTTACATTATTGGAGATAACCTAGCTTAGACCGTTAGGAGTATTTGCGTTATTTACAATGCTGGTACTCGTACAATGCTTTAAATGTGGGCTCAGTTCTTCAGTCAGTGAACGCCGTCCAAAATCATTTGTTTGTGCCAGAAAACATTGATCCTGTGCAAAAATAATACAAGATCGTCCTGCGGCATACTGTAAGATTGAGGACACCCCAGGCATTAGTTCCACCAGCATATCAGCATATATAAAATATTGCACGATCATTTAGCCGTAAGAAAGGTTTGTTCTCGTTGGATCCCCATCATTTGATGAAATCTCGAAAAGATACTCACATCGATTGGTGCACACAAATGCTCAAAAAGTGCAAGTACAATGGTGGTTCTTCGAAAGACGTATGCTCGTATAAGACTGTAACAGGTAATCAATCATGGATAAATGAGGAATGTAAACAGCAGTCGACTATATGAGTATTTGAACTAAATCCTACCAAAATTATTCGCGCTCAAAGCACTTCCAAACAAATGAACGCTTGTTTTTTTCGGAAAATCATCACTATTATTTGTGTTTTAATCATAAAGGAGAATACTTTGAGACAGAAAGAGGAATTTCCAACAATATTTTTTCAATATTTTTAATATTTTTTATTATTAGGCTCAAAATATAAATAATGACCCTCGTATAAAGACAGAATATAATCCGCTTATAGCAAAAAAAGCGTCAGCCTTTTAATTTGAATTTTCATAAAGAACCGTTAGCAATAAAAATAAAATGTAATTTTTATGTCATTAATGTTAATGAGCAGAGACGATTATCAGATATACTTGACCTATTCATTGCCATTGAATTAAAATCAATAAAAATAAAAAAAAATTACATCAGAGCGAATGGACTCATTATTTAATCATTACTAACTCTAAATACGGTACAGATGCGTTAATATGGATTACCTCATGCTAGTTCAACTGATTCAGTCTCATTAAGAGTGCAAACTTTATCTGCCTAATCTCAGCAGTACTCTGGGATCAGAATTTTGTTTAATTGTTTAGTTTATATTATGGTTGAAATACAAATATACGACATAATCATTAAATTTTGTCGGCTTATCAGAAGTGCCAATAAATTGTGTGCGGTATAAACTTCTTATAAACCTGTAAAAGGCTTTCAACGTTCTACGTATTGGGGTATAACAAAGAGAGCCAGAAATCAAATTCATGCCTAGATGTGATAGTCAAAAAGCGACCAACCAAAAATTATTGGGTCAGAACTAAACGCAATTTCTTGGCGAAAACATCTCAATTTCGCCGTTGGCTATTAGATTTTAATACGGTTCAAGTTTTTGGTTAAAAATGTTATCATCCAAAATATTTCATGTGAGACTAAACTTACGATATGTCAATATCGTAACAGGCTTATCTACTTCACAGGTGATATCAAATTTTATTTAAACACCAAACAATAATTATAGTCGATAAACAAACAATAAATCAACAAGAGTGGAATACAATAATGTTTATTATGAATAATAAATAAATATAAAAATAAATTGATTTTAATATAAATGTATGTGGTATATATAAGGCCTAGTAATTGATATTTATTTGTGCGTACTCTAAAAACATTAGTCGAAACCAATAAATTTTCGTTAAAGATTCTAATTCAGACATTCGTTAAATGTGTAAAATTTTCATTTAATTAACTTTCAATCCTCGATGTGTAAAAAAATGATCGTCATTTTAAACGTGATATATATTACATTGGGAGAGTGCCGGATGCTTTAATCCACATTTAAACTTATTGTTACTTATTGGCAGTTTTCCAGCCTCTGAATAATGATGAGTAATGATGTTTTCTTGGTTGCAGTCTATCTTCGAAAACAAGAATGAGCCGAGAGAAGCCACTACATCTAGAACGCCTAAACAAGTTCTTCAAAATCTGATACAATCAAACTACTTGAACGACAAATTAATTATGGTTATCAGGCTCTGAGAACACTTTTCAAAGTACCATGGTACATTAGGACGAATGATATCCTCAGGGGCCTCATGATTGATCCGATCAAAAAACAAACGAAGGATAGAGCTCTGAAATTATTTGTGAAAACTGACAGACTTACCAACACCGCGCTATCAAATCTCAGAATGGTTACAGGCTCTTAGTGGAGGAATGCAGATCTGAGGTCAATTATTGCTTAGTCTGAAGAAGTGATCAACAATAATCCAGTCAATGCATAAAAAGGGGGTTTTGAAAATAACTTGAGTTAAGAAATAGTAAAAGTGCTCAAGTGCACTAACTCAAAGAAAAACTTCAACAATTATTATTTTGATATATTTTTAAATCTCGAACTAAACTACCCAGCCAGTTAAGGATATCAATGTGGTCTGAGGTCAATTATTGGTTAGTCTGATGAAGTGATAAACAATAATCTAGTCAAGGCGCAAAGAGGGGTTTTAAAAATACCTCGAGTTAAGAAAGAGTAAAAGTGCTCAAGTGCACTAACTCAAAGGAAAACTTCAACAATTATTATTTTGATATATTTTTAAATCTCGAACTAAACTACCCAGCCAGTTAAGGATATCAATGTAGTTCATATAATAGACGGGATATGACTGATATATGTTATATGACTTCTTAGCAATGTCTTCAGAAATAAAAACGACTAAGTGGAATAGTACACTAATAAAGTTTAATGTTCTAAATAGGAAAACTTCACTTTAGTTGTGCAAATTAACTCACTATACGTATTTTAAGTCTGTAGCTTGAGTTAGTTGTTGTGGTGGAGGGAAGACGAATCCTCCCCAAAAGTTTGTAGGTACTACTACAAAACTAAAACGAGAAACAGAAAAACGAAATTCAAAGGTGTAAATTAAATGATCATTAAGTCGCCGATATCAGTTCAAAGCTAAATTTATGTAATATAAATATATAAGTGAAATAAATTTATTAAGTACTACAACAATTACAGAAATATTAAGGTGATCTGTTTCATTTATGAGGTTTTCTTGCAACTTCACTTTTCAATATGCAGTGTCTCCAACTGTATAGAATTTTTGTGCGATACATTATTATATTGATAATATTTATCACACCATCAAATACTGGAGCTTAGCTATTTTACTAATTCGTTTTATTGCTTTAGTTATTATCACCATTACTTAGGTGAACCTGTATGCGTGTAGTGACACTACACTCTTTGTTTATAGACACTTTGTTTTATAAAACCATATATATATATACAATAGCTTATACTACGAAACAAAATGATAATATAAGAATTATATGACAATTTTGTATAACAATTTTTTTTTATTATAAAATAATTGTTTGTGTTATTTTATATTTGTACTTAGCAGGTACGATCACAAACAAATGCAGCTACACAAGTGTCTCAGAAAGAATGGCAGGAAGCACGTCCTTTTAAGGATATACCAAACGAAAGCGCTCTTCGATACATACGCAACTTCCTACCTGGTGGCGAATATCGCAATTTAAATTATGCAGACACGTTGTACAAATTTCATGAAAAATATGGTGATATTTGCTTAATACCTTCGCTTTTTGGAAGGTCTCCAATACTTTTGACATTCAATCCTGCAGATTTCGAAACCATCTTCCGAAACGATGGTAGTTGGCCAAATCGTCCAGGCCTGGAAATACTATTATACCATCGTGAAAAACATAGACCAACCTTCTATCAAGGAGCTAATGGTTTATTACCAAGGTAAGCCGTCGATTGAAATGGAAAAAATTAATGGTTAACATATAGTTATTTTTAGTAATGGAGAAAAATGGGTAAAGTTTCGTTCAGCTGTTAATCCTGTACTTATGCAGCCTAGAAATGCTAAATTCTATATATCCAAGATGTGCAAAATTAGCTCCGAATTTGTTGAAAGGTCTGTTCAATAACTTGAGTTATTTAGTTCGAATTTTAATATCCTAATTATGAAAAATAGAATAAAACAAATACGAGATCCAAAATCACTTGAAGTACCTGCAAATTTCGAGGATGAAATAAAACGCTGGATACTTGAATCAATTTTGGTTGTGGCGTTAAACAAACAACTTGGGTTGATCAGAAATAATAGTGATGATCCCGTAGCAAAGAAATATTTCGATATTATATCTGAAATTCTGATTTTGGCAGGCGAATTCGAAATTCAGCCACCAATTTGGAAAATTATAAGCACTCCAAAATTCAAACGTGTAATGCAACTTTTGGATGAACTACAAGATATTACATTGAATTATATAGAGGAAACATTAGTGAGATTGCAGGAAGATCGTAAAAATGGTACAATAAGAAATGAAGCTGAGAAGAGTATTCTGGAGAAGTTATTCAGCATCGACAAAAGAATAGCAATGGTGTTGATTGTGGATATGTTGCTGGCAGGCGTTGATACGGTACATAAATTAGTTATAGTTTATCTATAATTTCGACCATTGCTATACTATTTATTTTACTGATTAGTCTTACACTAAAACAAAATTATTGTTTGGAATCAACAACGGCACCTTGATGATTTATGGTTTAGAGTTCTGCGTTTAAGTTTCAATGCGTCCAATTTTAGTATAAAAACTATATATAAGCAACTAAGCAAATTAGCTCGCAATGATCGCTGATATCAGTGGTCATTGGATATTTACCAGAAACTAGTTAATTAAATATTAGATTTTCTCACTTCTCGTTCCTTCGCTATAGAAAATGGAATCCGTGTTATACCACATAAAAGTTAAAACAAAATAAAAATTGTTATTTATATAAACTTTTGTATATACTAAGCTGATCGCGCTTAGTATATCAGAAAAAGTAAATTTATAAGATGTTTACATTTTAAAATTGTAGCTATGAAAAGTTTATGGTCGTCTTAAGTAATTCAATATATTTTTATTTTCAGACAACTACAACTTTTACTGGCATTATGTTGTGTTTGGCGAAGAATCCAGAAAAACAACAGAAGCTACGCGAAGAACTCTTTCGTATTATGCCACAAAAGGACACGCCTTTTACAGAAGATATTCGTAAGGAGCTAAATTACACGAGATGCTGCATTAAAGAAGCGCTTAGAGTTTATCCCCTAGGCCCTGGTAATACTCGTGTGTTACAAAACGATGTGGTATTAAGTGGTTATCAGGTGCCAAAGGGTATACTAGTTGTAATGATGGCTGAAAGTTTACTTAAAAATGAGACACATTTTCCAAGAGCAAATGAATTCATGCCTGAGAGATGGAGGAGAGGCATCAAACAAGATTCAACTGAATGTCCGGGTTCAATGAAATCAACAAACCCTTTCATTTACTTGCCATTTGGATATGGTCCAAGGGTTTGTATTGGTAAACGTATTGCAGAATTGGAATTAGAGTTAGGTGTGGCTAGGATTATAAGGAATTTTAAAGTGGAATTTAATCACTCAACTGAAAACGCGTTTAAGCCGCTTATATTCAATATGCCTAATATTCCATTAAAATTTAAGTTTATTGATTTATAGTTTTTTAATGAATTTATTTATATAAAATGAAGTATATTTGATATAATAAAGGACTATTATAATAATTATATCTTAATTTTTACTTACATGCCTTAGTCATTTTATTAAGACCCATTTATTCTATATAGATGATTTTGTTTTTAAGTGAGGTTAAACCTTAAATATGTATCAGTTAAATTTATTAAATGGTATTGGACCTGAGTACTTAAACCTAAAAGAAATGAAATTGTAATTCACCGCCAAACTTCAATTATTGATTTATAATCACATTTATTAAAAGCGGTATTTTAAATTTGCCTTAAATATCTATATTTGTTCCATCAGCAAAATTTTAATCAGAATTAAATGAAAAAATCAGTCAAAAATATTTCAATTAAAGGACCAGTTGTTTTAAATCATTTTGGATGCAATAATATAATATAAAATTTTCTTGCTTGAATTTATTTTAATAAATATAGCAATAATCACCTTAATTTATTTAAAATATTATGATATACAGATGGAGTACAGACGGTCTCTGTTTCAACCTGAATAACTACCCTGCAAAGCTCTGTAGTCATTACCAATGTTTTTTCACTAGTTCCTAGGTTTCAACAGAACACATTAACAGCTTCTAGAGTTACTATCGAACTAGTAGTCAACAAGTTTTTAGTTATTAATTAGATGGAAATATTTAGTAGCATGAAAATACGTATACAATCTGATTTCAAATCAAAAAATTCGCTGTTTTCGCTACCTCAATTTTCTTAGTTTCTGTTTATAATTAACAATAGTTAACAAATGAATAATATAATTGAATAATATAATCCTCTTGCTTTTAATAATTTGCTTTCTACATTGTGACCGAAAAGTTTTCGGGAAATTTTAAATAAAACGCAAAATTCTTAACCTTCATCAATATTTATTTTATCTCCTTCAAAATATGCTCCATTAGAAGCGATACACAAATGCCAACGTTTCTTCCAATCATCAAAACATTTTTTATAGGCGCTTTCCGGTATGGCTTTGAGTTCCCTCTGCGAATTCTGTTTTACGTCTTCTATGGATTCAAAACGCGTTCCTCTGAGTGGTAATTTGAGGTTGGGAAACAGGAAAAAGTCACACGGTGCAAGATCAGGTGAATACGGTGGCTGTTCGATGGTATTTATTGAATGTTTGGCCTTAAAATCGTTGATAATGTTGAACAAATTGAGGTGAATCGGAACAAGCCGGGCGTTGACACGTCGCATACACAAATTGTCCACCAAAATCAAACGAGCCATCTCACGACCGATGCCTAGCTCTCGTGCTATCTCTCTAACACTCACATGAGGATTTTTGAACACGATTTCCTTTGCCTTTTCAATGTTTTCGTCGGTGGTAGAGGTCGAAGGTCGTCCAGAACGCGGCATGTCTTCGACGGTCGTACGACAGTCCTGAAAGGCTTTGTACCACTCATAAACTTGAGTTTTCGATAAAACTGATTCCCCATAAGCCTTTTGTAGCATTCGCAACGATTCTGCACACGAAATTTCGTTCGAAAAACAAAATTTGATGCAAACTCTTTGTTCAATATTTTTTTCCATTGTTTTTTTCGCAACGCACTACTGAGGTGAACTGGTTTCAACAGCTGCCGTAAACGAAATGTCTGACAGATCGCGCTCATTTTTGGCATAGTAATTGTCCTTAATTGATGCCAAACTACATAAACTTAAAATATCGAAAAATATACAGCGCGCGAATTTTAAATGAGAATTTCCGAAAACTTTTCGGTCTTAATGTATATCCGAAATAAATTGTATATGCTGTGGTTTTGTTGAATTGTTGATGTTTTTCATGAGGTGGTATTATTCGATGTTCTCAGGATTTCAGAAAACCTGTAGTATTGTATTACTTTCAGCGGAGTTTTAAGAAATTCGGCGCTCATGGGAAAGAAGCAGATATGGTGCAATCCTGTAATAATTTAAAATTGAATTTTTTTGTTGCCTTAAACTGAATTTTTGGATGTATCAAAATTCCTGAAAAAAAAGTAAGTGTACAAGAGAAGAAATTCTTCAAGCGCTTTTATATTTTTTTTGCTTTATTAATGAATTTAGTATAACCAAGTATTTATGTAATGTGCACAATATAATTAAAAGGTCGTCACTGAAAGTTTTACGTTTTAAGGCAGAGCCATTCTTACTGTCCCGATTACTAACACTTTTAATTTTTCTCACCCACTTTAATCTAATGTATTTGAGTGTTGATAAATACCTTTAATTTGTTTATTTATATAGTTATCGATAAAAAATCTAAAGTACGCAGCGGCTTGCATATGCAACCCATTTTCGTCGAAATTTTTCTATGGATAATACTAATAGTAATACATTTCATCCATCAGGACATTATCTGTCGGTATTCAAAAATAATTTTTCTACAAGTTTCTTTCGATGAGGTCTGTATTTGAGCTTAGCTTGCAAATGAAATTCAGACAAAAACACAGACGAGAGAGTAAGTAAGACTACTAGATGGAACCATAAATATCACTAAATTATCTTATCCTACCATGCTGATCACGAATATGTATATTTTATTTAGACCGCCAAATTTTTCCTCTAAAACAAGGAATAGTCACACAGATACTCAAAAACAATATTTGCCTACCACATCCTCAGACTAACATAAATACCACACCATCTATTGTCTGTATGCAATGGAATTTCAATAATTATTTGCGCATTTTTACTATCGCTTGTGGGATAATTTTGTTTGTTAACATATCCATATATTCACAGAAAATGAAAATCGTTTCTCAATATAATTTCAGATGATGTTTAAAATATCTATTTAGAAAGTAGGAACTTAAACAGTTAATTATTACCTTCTTCTATTCTCCAATTCTTATTTGCAACCAAATAGAGTCAATTTCTAAACAACAATATTGTTAAAAACTATTATCTCCAGCTGATACATTTTAACGATAATATTGCGATTATTGATAAAATGAATTACAATTCCTATCAGTCACTCAAATTTTATTAATCAAATCAAAATTTTTAGATTTTATTTTTTACTGTTCATTGACTTTTATTTTTCAAGGTCTTCGAATTTTTCTATTTTCTAAGATAAGCCGGCGGTAGGTTATAAACTTTTTTGTGAAATAGTTTTATAGATACATTATTAAATATAGCATGGAATTAAGTATACAGAACAAAAAACTGACCTATCTGAATGTGTTGATTAGTTTATTTCAGTATAATCAGTTTATAAAAATATATTGCAGTATTAGATTAAATAAAAACATAATTGTCAATCAAATAAAATACATCTACATTTTATATTATTTAGATTAAATTTGGTTTTTTTATTGCTTTAAAAATAACATATTTTATTTCAGAGTTTCAAATACGTTACTTCTCTTTTGTTAATGATACTTCTCAATAAAATTTTTAAAGCTCCCATTGTTTGAAACTGCACCAGTGAAAAACTTGCCATTAGGGTCCAATTTGAAACCTATCTAAAACACAATAGAAGGAATATTATCCTTTCCTCTCATTTGGTGAAATTGAGTCGTAAACAGTTAAATTAATTAAGTCATCATTTTAATTTTATTCGTTTATTTCTACATGTAACAATGAGAAGCAATAATTATCTATATATAATTATATATAAATTTAAATTAACTAATTAACCGCTTTATGTTTAAGTCTGCAATTGAATAGATCTTCAGAGGTCATACTTCTCTGCTTAACCGATACCTCGTACTTATTCAATTCGATTAAAATGCAGTCAGACACACTTTAAGCTAGATAAGTAGGTGGATAGTTCAAATGATATGGCATAATCGATATATTTTGTAGAACTTATCAAAATTTTATTTGCATTATTATGACTATAAAGTCCTGATAAGCTGAATGACACCTTTTCATTTTCAGTTCGTAGGTGCATAATAAAGAAAACGATAGGTAAATTTTATTATTTGAAGTGATTGCCAAAAAACTGCCAATCAACAAATATTTTAGTTAGAGTCGAAAGAAACTTACTAGCGAAAACATTTCAATTTATTCGTTTGATATAAGAAAAATATTAAGTTTATATTTTCGGTTTAAAATGATACAATCCAAAATATATCGTATAGGACAAAATTTACGTTATGTGAATATCGTAGCTGGCTTATCTACTTCACAGGTGATTCTAAATATTATCATAACATCAAATAATAATAACAAACAAATAATAAATCAACATGATAATAAAGTGTATTATGGATAATAAAGATGTGAAAATACTAATTGATTTAATCGAAAATAAATGTGATAAATATGGTTAAAATTAAGTAATTGATTATTATATATTGCTATTAATATTGAAAGGAGTTTTTTTATTTTGTGCAAATGTTATAGACAAGGAATTGGATCTATCATGAACTTGTAATAGTTTCTAAGTCAAATATTTAATAACAGCGCAAGATTTTGATCTATCTGCCCTAAACAACGATTAGGTGTTTAAGTTAAGTAAAACCATGCGTTAGAAGAAATTAAAAGAATAGATTGAAATAAATATCAATTACTTGTTTTTCTAGTATTTATTTTAATTATATAGTATATATTATATTTTAGTATTTATTATTATCTACGATTGTGCATAGGTGAAGCACTGTAATCAGTTAACATGCTCCTGTGTGACTTTGTTTGGTATTAAAAACTATCTGCGGCCTTAACTGTAAAATCGCAGGAGTAGTCAATAACCATATGTCAATTAGCTTATAGAAACTATGTGGTAGATTGGGTCAAGCTGTGGTCTAGTTAGATATTAATCATTGGAGTCTACTTTGAAAGCAACAAAATATATATACTATAACTGATATAACTAATTAAACATACAAAGCCACCTATAGCGGAACTCATTCCTTTTGAACCCATATTGAAATTAGTTTCAGAAAGCCAGTTATCTAAATATTAATATTGCTACAATATTAATCCCTATTCAAGCACACTTAACAGATTGGTAAGGAAAATATGAGCAATTTATGACAACTGTATGCCTTACATTTCATTATATTTTTTCTTTTCTGATATTATAACATAAATTCATCATCACCTTTTACTTCTACTTTAATAGACACGATTTCACACAAACTTAGCTACGCAAGTGAATACTGAAAGCACATTTCAAAAAAAATGGCAAGAAGCACAACCTTTTAAGGATATACCAAACGAAAGCGTTTTCCGATTCATACGTAACTTTCTACCCGGTGGAGATTATCACAACTTGAATTATGTACACACGTTGTACAAATTTCATGAAAAGTATGGCAAAATCTGCTTAATGCCTTCGCTTTTCGGAAGATCTCCAATACTTTTGACATTCAATCCTACAGACTTCGAAACTGTCTTCCGAAATGAAGGTATTTGGCCACAACGTCCAGGATTCGCAGCACTTTCTCACCATCGCGAAAAACATAGACCAAACTTTTACCAAGGAGCTGATGGTTTAGTATCTACGTAAGACAACAATATAAACTGTACAAACAATATAAATGTTATTGTTTTATTTATTCCTAGTAACGGGCAGAAATGGGGAAAATTTCGTTCCACTGTCAACCCTGTACTTATGCAGCCTAAAAACGCTAAATATTATATACACAAAATGTGTAAAATCAATTTAGAATTTGTTGAAAGGTGTGTATATTAATTTCAATTACTAAACTTTGTTGTAAATATCATAATTGTTGAAACACAGAATAAAGAAAATACGAGATCCACAAACACTTGAAGTACCGGCTAATTTTGAGGACGAAATAAATCGCTGGGCACTTGAATCAGTTGCAGTTGTGGCACTGGATAAACAACTCGGATTAATCAGCAATAAACGGGATGATCCTGCAGCGAGAAGATTTTTAAAAATAATCACCGAGCTTTTCACCTTGGCAGCTGAACTGGAATTTCAGCCACCAGTTTGGAAAATTATAAGCACTACAAAATTCAAACGTACGATGCAACTTTTGGATGAGGTACAAGGTATTACATTAAATTATGTGGAGAATGCATTAGACAGTTTGGAGGAGGATCGTAAAAACGGTGTCGTGAGAATGGAACATGAGAAGAGTGTTTTAGAAAAGTTATTGAGGATCGATAAAAAAATAGCTATGGTGATGGCTATGGATATGTTGCTAGCAGGCGTCGATACGGTATTTAATTAGTTATTATCTTATTGATATTAAATTTAAATAATAATCCACTACTTTTGCAAGAGTAACGTTAACAATTAATTAGTTCAGTAATACTTGAATTAATATCATCAGCATCTTTGAATTAATGCAGATTTATGCCAATAAAATAAATATATAAAGCAATCAAATATGTATAGTATATAGTTATATATGAGACGTTTGAAAGTTTTATTATTTACTTGAATATAAAACAAAATACAATACTAAATATTGAAAACTTTGTTATACATTTTATATATCTTCGAAATGATGACTTATTTCTGTTTCCACTTTAATCAATAATCTCAACATCATTTAATTATTTAAATAATATTGAAATATTTATAAGTAAATTATCATATATTTGGCAAAAAGTATATTAGAATACAGATATTTTTTTTTTTATTGACGAAGACATATTAACATTCAGTTTTTATTAATCATTTTTCTCTTCAGACGACCACCATTTTTACCGGCATTATGTTGTGTTTGGCAAAAAATCCAGAAAAACAACAAAAACTACGAGAGGAACTCTTTCGACTCATGCCAGAAAAGGATACGCCTTTCACAGAAGATATTCGTAAGGAGCTAAATTACATGCGTTGCTGCATAAAAGAAGCGCTTAGACTTTATCCTTTAGGTCCTGGAAATACACGTACAGTACAAAATGATGTTGTATTGAGTGGTTACCAGGTGCCAATGGGCACACAAGTATTCATGATGGCTGCAAGTGTGCTTAAAGATGAGGCAAATTTTTCCAGGGCAAGTGAATTTATACCTGAAAGATGGATAAGACAAAAGAAGCAAGATTCAACTGAATGTCCCGCTTCTATGAAGACTACAAATCCATTTATTTACTTGCCTTTTGGTTTTGGTCCAAGAGTTTGTATTGGGAAGCGTGTTGCAGAGTTGGAACTAGAGTTAGGTGTGGCTCGGATTATAAGGAATTTTAAAGTGGAATTTAATCACTCAACTGAAAATGTATTTAAGCCTTTGATATTTAATGTGCCTAATATTCCATTACAATTTAAGTTTATCGATGTTTAAGTTTTTACATAGATTTGTTGATTTATTCACAAATATATATTAAGAAATTAATTACATTATTACAACTTATTATCACAACTAAATAATTATTTACTCAACAAATGTCGTATTTTGGTCGGTTTGTTTGAATTCTGTCACACCTTGGAACATTGTAAAGCAATACTGGGTAATTGTGCTTTATTTAATTGTAAATATTTAATGTAATATTTTGTAAATGGTTGATTCGGAGTAAATTGGAATTAAATGGTTCTTAATATTAGGTTGGGTAGTTAAGAATATTCAGATTTTACTTGTTAACTGTTTTAAAACCAGTTAAAGGGTAGTTATCGTATTTTTAGTTTTAAAAGAATTTGAAGTTCGTACTGACTGATATTAACTATGGCATGTAGGTAAAAGAGTTTAAAACTTTTAAGGCTCTGGACTTTTTAAACAAATTTTTTCTGACTTTTAATTATATTATTATTTAGCATACATCTAATTTCCAGCTCAAACTCATTTCGCAAGCAATTGAGGAAGGTCAACAATTTTGATAAATTTTTACCAATGCACTATATCTTAATACAACTCAGTTTTTGAGATATTAAGTTTTACAGCCTGAAAGGTTTTATTCAAAAACTACTAACAATTAAATTAAATTTTTTTTTAGGACTTTACCTTTTATTTCGAACGACAATTCGATTTTGACGTCATTAGGAAGATTCCTAATATTCCAACAATTATTGGTTTTACTGTTAATTATAAAAGTTGGTGTTAGATCGGTTTTCGTAAGTCTTGTCCATGAAAAAAGTTTTCAATTGTAATCATCAATATATGATTAAGTAAGTTCATTCGGAATATAGCGTATTAAAAAAGATATCCGAAATTGCTAAACCAGTTATAATCTTTTGTTAAATCGGCGTGCCCGAGTAGTCCAAATCTTACATATTATTGCGCAATTTAATATGAATGTTAATAAAATATATTTGCAAAATATCATAGTGTTTCGGGTTCCCATGAAATGATTGTTAAATTAATATACAAGGAATGTGAGGGTAAAAACATACATGCAAGGAATGTGAGAGTAAAACCTTAACGAAATGGTATATATGAGTGAATTTTAACAGTTAAATAGTGTGTTTTTTATTTATTGTTCAGTTCGATGTTTCGATCAATTATGTCTCTCGAATATTACTGTCAAAATTTGGTATTCACTAAATATTTCCTTCTGACTACAGATTTTTTAACTTATCGAATCCTTTCTTATTGCTGTCAAAATTCGGCCTTCACTAAATATTGCCTCCTGACTATAAATTTTTTTCAATGTCACAGCGTTCGAAAAACAATTTTGAATAAACAGTGAGTATCAAAATGCAGAGATGTTTAAAAATAAACACAGGAATGATTACATTTTTTGGTCCATAGTTTATGTTTTTTTTGTTACTTTAGTCTTCTCGGTAATGAAAAGCTCTGAAATTTTGAATAAGCACCCCTAGCACAACTGAGACTGCAAGACGCATTGAAGGGGACTGAAATACACAGCCAACCGAGTTCTGATTAGACTTTTGAAGGTCCATGACATATTCAAAATTGCAAATATATCAAACAGTTGAGGATGATAAAGAGTTATAACTGGTGATAAAACGTAGCGCATTCAAAATAAACTGAACATAATGCTAGAATGTTGCATGTCAGTCACCAAAAGAGTCACCTTACAGTTAAATAGACGCGTTCACTGTCAATTAAACTTAGAAGTAAAAACTATTAGCGATGAGACTATTATTTAAAAATTGTGCGTTGTGGGTCAGAAGTGCAGAAGTTCAACTAAAATATTAAGAACCAGGTAATTACAGGGTACTGTAAAATCGCTAAAAGCCCTTAATGTTATTGATCGGCTTTAATGTTATTGATCGGCTACTGTAGTATTTTTATTTAAGACCATGCTACTTCTGACTTTTGGGGAAATAGTTTCGATACTATCAGAGTCATCCAAAATGCTTTCACAAGCATAGCATAGAGTAGTCCAAGCAATAAGCAATAAAAAAATTATTTAAAAAATTTGTTGTATTTACTTGAAAAAATACTATTTTAAATATATAAATAATAATTTTTTCTGTTTTAAATAAATATTTTCTTATCTGAGTCAAATAGTATATATTATTTATTACTTGTAATCATATTAATTAACACATTAAATAATTGCTACACTGTGAAAAAAATTGTAAAACCGAAAAGAAAGTCTTATTTCAATTTAAATCGCGTAAAACAGCGTCAAAATTTCATAAAAACAAATATTTTAATTTTTTTTAAATCCATTTTATTTATTTTTCCTCAAAATTACTTAATATATAAAGAAATAAAGAAATTAAAAAGGGTCGCTAAAGGGTTAATTATAACAAATTAACAAAATTTTTTTCTATTCTTGTCCACTGTACATGACGTAAAGCTTTAATATTGATATTGAAAAATATGAATAAAAAAAAAATATTTAACTAATTTAGTATTTATTTTGGTGCACAAACTCAAATGTTCTCTCCATTGAAGAAAAAATTTTTTGTGTGTGCGCATGAAATTTGTGCTCAAGATACATTAAAAGCTCAGATACATTTTTTTATTTTGAGTGTTGTGCGCTCAACTGGTGAAATCGTTTGGACAAATGATAATGAACTTGAAAGCAATAGGAAAGGCAAAAACAACAACAACAAAATATAACAAAATAAATAAATTTAATGATTTTGGGCTCTAAAAAGCGGTCAATCAACAACGTTTTTTAGTTTTCATTTTAGTATTAAACGCAATTTCTTCACGCGAACATCTGACTAAGTTAGTTAACTTGTTTTGTTGTTGTTTTCAGTGCAAAATAAAAATTTGAAATATTTCAAATAAAAAATGTTGCGTTCGAAAATACTTCAAGTGGGGCAAAATCCAAGTTGCGCAAATATCTTAGGCGGGTTATCTACTCAACAGGTGATTCAAGTGCTTTTATTATCAAACAACAAACAAACAATAACGGAAAATATAATTATAGTTGCTTTGTGAATTATAGATAGAAAGTATATTTTGATAATATAAATAAATAAAAACTAAAAGCACCATGTATATAAATAAATATATATATAGAAATATGTTGATATATACATGCACTTCATATAAATGATACGGTGACCTTAGAAAACTTTTTTGCTATAAACAATAATTTGTTAATTGATGGTTGGACACCGTGATTATTTTTAATTAATAGTTAAAACGATATAGGTTCTTTTTTTTCATTCAGTACATATTCTATTAGGTATTTGCCTTGGTTTAAAAATATTAAAAATATAAACACAAGATAAAGTCTATTAGAATACAGTAAAAATTTTAATAAAACGTAAAATTCTATGTCTACATTTTGTTTTTATACATAAAGTAAATCGTGTCAAAACAAGTACTGTTTTCAATATAACAAAAATATTGAACTAAATTAGCATAAAAGTATTGTTTTTGTATCTTAATCGCGTTTTTATTTAAAAAAGGCAACAATATTTTGGAGCATTTCTTTTAAAGAACCTAAAATAAACTCCTGTCGATATGTACCATAAGATATTTTGCCGAAGGGAACTGGTTATGATAAACATCGGATACAATTTGGATAACTCTGCAATTTATACTTGAAGTGATACTACTATACTACTTAAATACTAAATGAGATATATCATTGCTGACTTTCCATAATTAATTCGCAAACTGTCTATACTCGTACCAGTGTTGGCAAATATATTTCTCAATATTTACCTGCTAACAGAGTTGTCAAAGTCGAGAGTTACTTATTATTTTGGACTACCATATAGGAAAAATAGTTCTTAAGCACTTATTTTTAATTTATACATAACTATGTTTTAGTCTGCACTGGCTCATATCTTCTTTACGTGACTTATTCACACAACCCTTACAGATTTCGATATAAACTATCCACAATCAGCACTTGCTTTCTGAGTTTCTATAACGAATATTAGTCCAGATGACTTCAATTTCATCATATCGGATTTTGAAGACTTTATTCTTGTCTGAAATTCGTATACTTTTAGTCTAGAGTCATTTTAAATTAAGTCAAGTTTTCCGAATTCAGTTGTCGGATTGGCAATTTACCCTTATAATCTGTAACCGATTTGTTAGCAATTTTAACGTATTCTACACAACTTCTAACTCAATTTGGATTTGCGTTTGACATTTTCGAAGTCTATTGCTTCAAATATCAAATTCAAAACAATCATAGAACATAGCGGATGGTTTACGCAACTATGCTCTGTTCAAAATAAAACTGGGTTTGTTGATTTGTGTAGAAAAGCTTCGGCTGTAAGCACTTTTGATCCTCGGAAAATTGGTCCTCAATACTCATCAAAAGAACACTGCAAGGCTAACTGCAGTTATTTCTGGTCATTCGTGTATGGTAACCCACGCAGAAAAACTGCGTATTCCTCATAATCCTCACTGCAGAAGTTGTGGAAACCCGCAAGAAAAATAAACCATAATACATTTTCTCTGTAAATGTCCGGCTTGGGCAACCAGAGGATATAAATTCTTAGGAAGATACTTTTTTGATAGTTTATCAGACTGTTCATTAGTAAAGACGAAAGATCTATTAAATTATCTAAATTCGGCAGGATGGATTAATTTTAACTCTTTTATACTAGGGTACTTGCGAGGAATGTGGCCTGCTTCTGCAACCAACCAAGCATCTTTAAAACATACTCAAAAAAGAATCAAAGTCAAACCAAACAATTATTACATTCCACAGACTGTTATTTAGTATAGCATGCAGTGCTGATAAAGGTCAATAGAATAAGTCTCTGAAAGAAATCAGACAAATTCAACGTGTGAATCTTATGAACAGGATTTCCAATTCTGATCATACAATTTTCATTATAATTGGATAAAGAAATATACTTAAATCTCTCTAATTAGAGAAGCTCTACTTGCTGTTATTTTCTGGGGATTATGATGATAATGGATTTTTTTCAAACCTTCGACATAGTTTCAGAACTGAGCTGAATTATAAAGTATTATTACAAAATTTCTGTTATTTTCCTAGATGATTCTATATAAAAATATAATACTATATTCCCTTATTTCAACCTCCTTTACACATAACTGTCATTTAAACTTATTCCCTTGTGAATATTATCTCGTCATTTATTGGGTGAACTTTTTATTAATATGATACCAATCCCATTGTTTTTTAATTTAGTTATATATTATAAAAAGAAATTCGTAGCTTTTATAAACCCTATTCAAATAGGAAAGGATTTTGTTGATTAATTTCTAAAGTATTTTTGACATTCTGCTTTAAATCAGAAATGTACTTTATTCATTTAAAAAAATAGTAGTGACAATACTATGATTACATGACATATTTCTAGTTGTACTTTTTATATAAATAATGTACTTAAGACATAAATGATAAATGAATCGCTTTATCAGTGCACTTTTTTTTTCAATGATTATTTATATTACAAACATTATCATAATCTTATCGTTATTATTTTTTATACTATTATATACAGTAAATAGTATTGCATTCAAATGCAGCCAATAAATAGTAATTCAATTTCTATTGTATTTTTTAATAATCTTTATAATTAACTACTCCACCTTATATATAACAGATCCGTCTTCAAACCAGCGCAGCTACACAAATAAACACTGAAAATGTGTTTCAAAAGGAATGGCAGGAAGCACGTCCTTTCAATGAAATTCCTAATGAAAGAGCATTTCGCTTCTTAAGAAACTTTCTACCTGGTGGAGACTACCATAAATTGAATAGCGTCAAGATGATGTACAAATTTCATGATAAGTACGGTGACATTTGCTTAATGCCTGCGGTATTTGGTAGACCACCCATGCTTTTAACATTCAATCCTGCTGATTTTGAAACTGTTTTCCGGAATGAAGGTATTTGGCCAGATCGTCCAGGTTCTGAAACTTTGGCATACCATCGTGAAAAACATAGAGTAGATTTCTTCCAAGGCACAGATGGCTTAATATCAACGTAAGAATTCACTGTAAAGAGCAACAGCAGTAAAAGAATATCCGTTTATCTTGTTTTGTTTTTTTAGTAAAGGCGAAAAGTGGGGAACATTTCGTTCAGCTGTTAATCCGGTACTGATGCAGCCCAAAAATGCCAAATTTTATATACATAAAATGTGCAAAATTAACTCTGAATTTGTTGATAGGTCCATAAATAAGTTATATTATTTGATTGCATTTTAATTTTTCTTTTCGTTAAAAACAGAATTCGAGAAATCCGTGATCCACAAACTCTGGAAGTTCCTGCGAATTTCGAGGATGAAATAAATCGCTGGACATTTGAATCAGTTTCAGTTGTGGCACTGGATAAACAACTTGGTTTGATAAAAACGAATCGCAATGACCCGGGAGCTAAGAAACTTTTTAAGATTATTACTGAGTTTTTCTACTTGGCTGGTCAACTTGAATTTAAACCACCGGTCTGGAAAATTATAAAAACTCCAGATTTCAATCGATTAATGCAAATATTAGACGAGGTACAGAATATAACATTGAAGTACATAGAGAACGCACTAGAGCGTTTGGAAGAAGATCGTAAAAACGGTGTAGTGAAGACAGAACATGAAAAGAGTGTTTTGGAAAAACTTCTCAGCATCGATAAAAGAACAGCAATGGTGATGGCGATGGATATGTTGATGGCAGGCGTCGACACGGTATTTAGTTTATTTATTATATCATTATCAATTTTTTATTTGTAATAAAAAATTATTTTGTAATATTTATACATATATTTATATATTTTTATATATATATATAAAAATTTATTTACATATTTCAATATGTCTTTAATTATTTCTTTACAATTTTAGACTACTACCACTTTTGCTGGAATTATGTTGTGTTTAGCGAAGAATCCAGAAAAGCAACAAAAATTACGTGAAGAATTACTACGACTAATGCCGGAGAAAAATACGCCCTTTACTGAAGCCATACATAATGAGTTAAACTACATGCGTGCCTGTATTAAAGAATCACTTAGACTTTATCCATTAGGAGCTGGAAATGCACGTGTAACACAAAATGATACTGTATTGAGTGGTTATCAGGTGCCAAAAGGCACAATGGTCTTCATGTTTGCTGAGAACTTAGTTAAAGATGAGAAACATTTTCCAAAAGCAGATGAATTTTTACCAGAAAGATGGATTAGACAAAGCAAACAAGATTCAAAAGAATGCCCTGTTTCCATGAAGGCAACAAATCCTTTTATTTATTTGCCATTTGGTTTCGGTCCCAGAGCTTGTATTGGCAAGCGAATTGTGGAGTTGGAACTTGAATTAGGCGTGGCTCGGATAATAAGGAACTTCAAAGTAGAATTTAATCACTCAACTGAAAATGCATTTAAACCATTGCTTTTTAATGTACCCAATATTCCATTGAGATTTAAATTTACTGATGTTTAAATATTTAATAATTTAAAGGGATTTTTGGAAACATTTAAATATGTTGTATATATATATAAATTATTGTGATAAAATACTTATATTCGATTAGTTATATATGCGTTTTTATTTTTTGTGTGTTTGTTGTCTTAAGAGTGGTTTAGGAAGAAATTTTTTTACTGAGGCTGTTCACATGGTTTTTCCTGCATGTTATTGCATATTTGTTGCATATTCGTTTTGTGAATGGCAAACAAGAACAATATATACGACTTCGAGGCACTGCTGATAGAGGGGATGCAACGATTAAAATAACTATTAAATAAAAGTGCAACAAAAGTACCCTTAATTTGGGTCAACTTATGGTGGGACGTTGGGCAGCGCACCGTCCAGCAAGTGGCCCCACTGAACTGAAGGATTAGCCGAAGTAGATCACGTAATTACTTGGGTCCTTTTCGTCCTTATATTCTCAGTTGTCGTTATTGAGTTAAAGCTGGAGAGGCTTCCGTTCGCGTAACTACATCTCTTGGTAATGCAAGCAGCTCATTTAGCTTGAGGTTGCCTTCATCACCAAACCACTGGTGTCTCAAGACAGTCATAATTTGGGCCTAAGTAAAACTGGTGAATTACTTAGATTCATATACAACTATAATTATTATGATTCCATGAAAGAATTCAGAAAACAAAAGATTTGCGTTGAACTAAATATTAAGCTGCATCACGTCCAGGTACAATGTGGATAATCATATTATAAAAAAATATGATTGGCATGGCGATATAAATAACATTAAAATCACAGAATCGTAAATAAAATGAAAAAGAATTTTATGGAGAAGTTAACCAGTTACGAATATGAAGCGGTTTCTGGTACTTTCAGGTGATATATGAACCATTTCTTCGTCAATTTCGTCGTTCTTGTATATCTTTTGCCTTCTATAATATGTAATGTATTGTATTTTATTGCAATTTAAATTTAAATTACCACATTTTCTTACAGCAGTCTCTCATTGTGTTGTCAGCACATCTCAAATTGGTTATAAGGATCCCACAAGACATAACTCCACTTATTATAACAGTTATTGCTTTATTAAAAATGGTTTCTGAATAATTATATTCAGTTTTATATGATAGTTTTATAATGTACCTATAACATAATTCGAAGAAATATTTTGAATACATGATTTATCAAGCTATTTGTTTCAAAATTCAATATATTGAGGTGGCTTATTACTATATTGCGGTCATATGAAGATATCTGACATCGTAGCTTATATGGATGTTCAGTAATACGAAATAAAGGACAAACTTTTATGTGGATAGTTGATTTCTATTAAACTTTTATAAGTATATTTCTGAATATCAAACTTTTTTATACAGAAGAATTTAATAAGGAAGTAACGGTTTGTACAGTCAAACTTCAATAACTCAAAGTACTATTTTGCAAAGATGATGTTCGGCTTATGGAGACTTCAAGTTAAAGAATCTTTTTGTAATTTTGTAATAGAAAATTCTAGTTATAGAAGATCGAGTTATGGAAGTTTGCTTGTTTAAATATATTGGGTATTGGAACATAGAGCTTTACAAGCATATGTATGAAATTGCAAGAATTATAACTCGCTTCTAATTGATATAACAAGGTAAGAACAGATACTTGTCCTCTGTGCTATTTTATATTCAGAACATAAAATTGATAAAATTTTTTGTGCAAATCTTAAAAACGGAACAGGAATCATTTAATTTGTAGACTCTTTGTAAGCCTATTGTGAGTACATGTCTATGCCATGACCTGCATATCTACATAAGGTCATACATTTAAGCCGTAATTCAATATCAAGAATTTGAACAAAAATATAAAAATTTTGAAGTAGATTTTCTAACTTCTGCTTTAATGAATACAAATAGGAAAAATCTTAGGATTCACGTTCGCGAAAAACGGGTTATATCAAGTTAGGTTGGAGAAGCAAATATGTTTCCTTAATCTTCTTAATTTTCATTCAATTTTGATTCTTAACGCAAATCATAACCTCAGGTTTTTTTTTTTTTTTTATTTTAATAGAAACGCATTTGGATCTAGATATATGCAGTTCCATCGAGAAAGAGTAATATCTACTATAATACATTTGTTTGTTGTTAAGTCTGTGTCAGTTTTTTACCTTCTGCTTAACTCATATAACATTTCTGTTACTACTCATTTGATGATATATGAACTTTCTGAGATGTCTTTCATTCTGTCACTATTCAAGCATTCTTTACTTTGCCTTCCACAGATTTCTAAATAAAAAAGCAAAACTTTAAGAAAATCAATTCTAAAGATAAAAAACAATTCTTAGAACACCCTTGCTTTCTTCACCGGTTAAAATTAATAGGTTTACACTTTCCCTTCCACTTAAGAAGTGTAAAATAAACATATGTAAAAGACAATTTATTTCGTTCAACATATGAAACGGGAAATAAATAAAGCAGAGTAGCTTTTGCTTAATCGTAAATTGAGATTTTTCTTAATTTTATTTTTAAATTATATCCCAACCCCAAGTAAAGTTTCAGTATAAAGGCACTCTTCCCAGGGTAAGCAGGTGCATTTCACTACAAAATAAGCCGCAACTTGTTACGAAATTCATTTTAGTCAGACATTAATCTCAAAAAGTTTCAGGAAAAAATTTCGAATTTTACAAAAAAGTAGATACAATCTTTTGAAAAATAGGCAGAATGGGAAGAAATAGAAAGTGTTGAGAATATTTGTTCGCCTGTGTTTTGGATTCATTTTACCAAATGTTTAAATGAATCGCTTTTGTGTAAAGGAAACTTAAGAAACGGCAAAGTGAAATAAATTCCATAGCAAAGTGGCTTTAATAGTAGCAAGAAGGAAAGAAGAGAAGACATAATATTAAATGAGACTGGTAGTCCTAGGATCTAAAGGAAAATGTACATTTAATATATTTTTAGGAAGAGAACGAAAAAGGATTTGGAAAACTACATCCTAATGAAAAAATTAAGCTGCAACTTAAGCTACGAAATTACTGCATAAAAAATAAATGAAACAGATTGCTTTTGAATACAAATTAGTTTTCTCTTTTAAATGAGAAAAAATGTAGATAATAAAAGTCCTTAACACAATTGCATTTTTAAGTGAATGAATTTAGTTGTTATCTGGCATAATTTAAAGTGGGAGCAATACTGCCATAGAATTGTAATGGGTGAGAGCACTTCACTTCCAGAATTTACTAATTAATATACTAATTTTTTTTTCGATTCTATAATATTTTTATTATATTTAAAAAATTTAAATAATTTAATGTAATGAAATAAATGAATTATTAGATTTCTCTAACGGAATATGTAAATGAATTATCAGTATATTACAAATATTAGCAAAGTGTCTGTTCCTATATGTCTATTTACCCGTTAGCATCTGCTACTATTAGGACATCTTTTCTAAGTACTGCAAATATATTGCTGAATTCGTGGTCTTTTAAGTAAATTTTAATATATATTTACACAAGAAAGTTATTTATTTGTGTAATTTTGTTTATTCTCTACTCGGCAAAAAATATTAATTAATTTTAAAATCTTGCAATAAAATCATACATAGTACTAAATAATCTTCAGTAATTGCATTAAGTTTTGCACTTGTAGTATATTTGCAGAATTTTTCAGTTGACTGAATTTAAATATAAAATTCTCGATTAAAAAATTTTCAAGTTTTTCGAAATGGCGTCCTTCATTCCTGAAGAGTTACTTAGTCAGAAGAAAAAATTTCAATCGAATTATGTTGAAGGAGTAGACTTGCTGCATATGCGGCGCCGTAATGCATTTATTATGAATTATAAATTATTTGACCTTGAACATGCAAGAACGTGCAAACACGTACCGCCATCTTATAAATATGTATTTAAGGACGAAAAAAGGACGAACCGTAGGATGTCGAAGGTTAATAAAAATAATAAATTACAGTTTAAAAAACTTATCTTTTTTCTGTTAAAAAATTAAATTTTTAAGATAAGTGCTTACGTGTTCATATACTACAGGTCCTTCGAAACTTTGGAGATAATTGGAAAATTGTTAGTAATTTTGCATTGAAAAGAGAGAGGTGGGTTCCAAACACAGATAGATATAAAAATAAGAAGAAAATGGAGAAAAAGAGATGAGAAGAAAACTTGAAAATAAGAAAATTAAAAAGAGACGTAAAAAGAAAGAAATATGGAGTACATCCAAAAAGAAAAAAAACAATGTACACAAATTGGTAAAAACGTTTAGGATTGCTGCCTATGAAGAATCCCCCACAACTGCACAAATTTTATAATAAGTTTTTTTAAGTTTAGTTGTGAAAAAAAGTTTGAGATAAATAAAATGTCCAGAAATATCTGCAGTATTTATGTTTTAATTGTTTTTCTCTACTTTAAGAAGCTTCAGGTACAGTATTGAGGAATAAATATTGAAAGTTATATTATATGTGTAAATTTATCATATTAAATGTGATATCTTGATAAATCAAAACGTGGTGTTAAACGAGACTGCTAGAAGTTGTTCTAAAATAATCATAAGGCCAATACCTCGGTATGAACTGCGATGTATGAACTGTATGGACGTGTAGAAGATTTAGTATAACAGTGACAAATGACTTATATACTATTCGCGTAGTCATCGAGGTTGTTGAAACTTTATGGCCTAAATAAGACACTAAAAACGAAGAAACCATTAGACTTTTGCTAACCAGCAATTCATGTACTTATTGGATTAAATGGATGCTTCAACTCCATCCATTTAATCTAATAATGAGTATTAGGACCCAGAGTTGTTGACGATGATATAAAGATAAATTTTATTTATTGCTTTCTATATCTTTGACTACAGATGAATCGATATCAATATCTTGGGGAACGTTTCTTTACTGGGTTAAGAGGGATAATGAAAGAGAACTTAACAAGTACATTACATTGAGATAACTATGTTATATATCTCTGCAATATATGTCTCCGAGTAGAAGTGCTGATAGTTGTGATAGCTGATAGTTAGCATGCGTCTTCTTAACCAAATCTAACCCCTTGTCGAAAATTTTTTTCCGTAAAAGTTA